ACAGTGTTAATTGCCATCCAGGCCAGACATTCTATTTTCCTTTTTTGTTTGTTTGGTTTGCTTTGGTTTTTTTGAAAGAGGGTGTTACTATGTAGCACTGGCTGACCTCAAGTTTACAGAACTCTGCTTATTTTCCCTTAATGGGTCTTGATTACTGTTCAATACCCCCTCTGATGAGGAACTGGCATCTCTGACCTCTTGCAAAAATGGGGCTAACCAGAGGCACAGAGACATATCTGGCTTTTAGCCAAAGGAAAAAAAAATGGGCTTTTTTTCTTTAGGGTCTTTTAGCCTTAAATGTCTTAGTTAATTTTTACCTCATGTGTTACACACCTGTGTCAAAAAAAAATCAACAAAATCTGCAGTCTGTAAGACTGTGCCCTGTCTTATTCTCAAAAGACATTGTAAGTACATTTTGATGTGTTCCCAATCTTGTGTCTCATGTCCTTTGGGCATGCAAAATCAAACTTATGCAGACAAACGGATGCTGGAAAAGTAAGACATGCTTGGTCTTATTTGACACAACTCAACTGAAGTTTCAGCTGTAATTTCAACTCATAGTGACCAGAAAAAGCTAAAAACACATATTCAGAAAAACAAAGACAGAAAAAAAAGCTGAGTGTGGGTGGCAGTGGTGCATGCCTTTAAACCCTGCACTCTGGAGTGGGGCAGAAGCAGGTGGATCTCTGTTAGTTTGCAGACAGCCTGGTCTACATAGAAAGTCTAGGATATTCAGAGCTACAGAGAAAAACTATCTTGAAAAACCAACCAAACAACTAAACAAACAAACTAAACTAAGATGGTAAAACAAAGCAAACAAATAAGCACAGGAAATAAGAGCAAGAAAAGTTTTAAGAGTTTAGAGTGCATAGATGAAAGCAAGAGAGAAAGTAGTCGATCTTCAGAGTTGAATTCTTATATAGAAATAGCAGAACTGAAGGTGGAGAGACAGTTCAATGGGTGATAGTACATTTATCATGAAGGACTGAATTTAAATCCCTAGGATCCACATAAAAGCCAGACAGTGCTCGTACTCTGGACTGTCTCAGCCCAGCTGGCCTGTGGCTTATGTAGTGGAAAAACAACAAAGGGATCTGGATCAATCAATGAGAAAGATTGAGGACAAACACCTAAGGTTGTCCCCTGACTTCCATTTGCAAACCTCAGAATGCTGTGCTGGCTAGATTTTGTCAACTATACCTAAGCGCCCAAGTCATCTGAGAAGAGGGAACTTCAGTTGTGAGAAAATGCCTCCATTAAGTTGGGATGTAGAAAATCTTGTAGGGCATTTTCTTGAATAATGTTTGCCCTGGTTAGCCCATTGTGGGTGGTGCTGTCTAATGGTAGGTGCTATTGAATGGTATAAAAAATCAGGCAGAACAAGCCATGAGGAGCAAGCCAGTAAGCAATATTTTTTCATGGCACAGTCATCAGTTCTTGACTCAAGGTTTCTGATTTAAGTTCCTATACTGACTTCCCTGGATGGTGAACACAAGCTCAAGATGAAGTAAACCTTTTCTTCCCAACATGAATTTTGGCCATGGTATTTATCCCAGCACCAGAAATCCCAACTAAGACATGGAGCACACCTGTGTAAAAATGCAAAGACATACATTGTGTGCATGTAAACACACACACACACTCATTCACTCTCTCTCTCTCTCACACACACCACACACACTTATGCAGAAGTACAATTTAACAAACAACAAATTTACATTCCAAAATTATCCCAAATATATAACAATTGCAGGTGGCATCCAGTTCTTCAAGTTGAAGATGTGAGATTTATGAGAAACATAACACTATCTGAAAACATAAAGATCCCCAGCCCCTCTTCAAACACCTTGTAGTTTTGTTCACCTTTGTGGCAGTAGTAGAGTCTCCGAAGATGTCTCAGATAGTACTTTTCTATCAGACTCTCTCCTGAGGAGACCAGTGACTTCTACTTCAGTGAGCAATCCAAGAGCTGTGAAGATGGTGACCACTGCTTTCTAATAATCTAACCCCAGCTCCTATGCCAACTGCCATGTCTTCTCCTCCATTATAACATGTATTCACTTGAACTGTGAGCCAGACACAGCTGTTTCTCCTTTGTGTTATTTTTGTCAGATATTTTGTAACAGCAATGGGAGCATTAACCAAGACAAGCATGAGTATCTGAATAACAGGAGGTGTCCATCATGGAAATTATGTTAGAAGAGGCTAGCAAGGCTAAAGCCACCTTCCCAAAGTAATGGAGGAGCTAATTTGTGGCCATAATGCAAACGTTTGCCAAGTTCATTTCTAGGGTTCAAGTTCTTTGTGAAATATTACAATTTTATTTAATGTGTGTGCTCACATGAGTACATTTGTGTGATTGTGTACACTAGAGAATAAGTGTGGAGGTGAGAGGAAAACATGCAGAAGCTCGCTCTCTTCTTCCACCATGTAGGTACCAGGGCTAGAACTCTCTGAGCTATCTCACTGGTTAGGTGATCTCAGCAGTTAAATAAATGCTCACATGTTTTCTGGGTGTTATTTTCCTTTCATGCTCTTGAGAAAACAACAGTGGCATCTTCTCTCATGTGTTTGCTCTCCTATGAATGTAGGTGTGTTTGTTGATAGCTGCTCGTACTAGCTGGCATTCCCATGTGTAGTGCACATCAATGTGCATTACATAGATTCTGAAGATCGTATTCTTCCAGGCAAGCTTCACCAATGGAGATTCAGGGTTCAGCCTGTTGTGTTCAGTGTTCAGGGCACACACCATGACTCCCTTATTTACCTCTGCTTCAGAAATTGTGCATCAATACCAGAGAGAGTTTTATGAATACACTTATAACCTTGAATTCACTCCAAAGTATAAGAATTTCTAACTCTCTCAGGCTTTAGGACCTGACTGGTAATGAATTATTTGAAGCTCCCCTCACCCTTGATCATGATGAACGGTAGCTTCATATTCCTGGGATGGGGCATTAGTCACAGGGGCAGAAGTCAGCTAAGGTGACAAGCTTGTACTCTATCTTGAATGATGTTAGGAGTCACTGAAGTGTTTTAAGCACGACTAGGAGACATAATTCAATGTCCACATGCTGCTCCAAACTATAGGATTTTGTGTGAAGTGTTAAATATATTTTTTTATTCTTAAGATTGCTAATGTGTCTTTTAAGATGTTGGCTTTGCATTCTTCCAAATCTGCTGGGTATAATCAAGTAAGTATTTATCAAGTCTACAGCTGCGTTAATGCTCCAAATTATGTGACCCCTGTGACCTCTTCCTATTCTGGCTCCTGCATGAGCATGAAAGGACCTCTGTGCCTGTCATGGCCTGTAAACATGAGGACACAGACTGTTGTTCTTATATATGTCTCTGTCCCTTGGTGAAACTATATTTGTTAACATAATCTATAAATTAGGCAGCAATTGTCAGGTGAAAATGGATGTATACAGTATTATATCAGTTACTTTCCTAAGTTTCGCACATATAAGTGTAAGAGAATGTTCCTTTTGCCTGGAGGATATATCAGTTGGTAAAGTGCTTGCTTTGCAAGCATGAGTACCTGAGTCTGATCCCTAGAGCATGTAAAAGCAGGCATGGTGTGCACATTTGTAATTCTCATTTTAAGGTTTTGATAGGAAGATTCTTAAAACTCACTGATCAGGCATTCTAGCCAAATAGGCAAGGAGAAAACCAAGTGGTGCCAAACAACCTCTGACATTGACTATTGGTGCCACATACAAGCCCACAAGTACATGTGCACACACATCCAAGAATGTGTCCTCATGTTTTATTGCTAAAAATGTGAATTTTAAACTCACTAGCTGAACATTTGTTGAACTGTAATGCCTTTAGAGATATGTTAGGTGCTAGGATTCAGTGTCACATGACACAGTCATGATTCTTCGAGGTTCTTTAGCACATTCTAGAAGACAGACCTGTGCTGATGATCCTAGTTTAATACACTGTGAGGACATAGGGACAGAATGTAAATCAGCAAATACCAGGGGCAGATAAGAGGGGAGATTTTATGATCAATGTACCCTTGAGATGGGCTTTGAAGAATGAATTATAGAAGCAATGGTGTGTGATGGTTATCTTTAACTGTCCCCTTGACACAACCTGAATCACCTGAGAGGGAGTCTCTATTGGGTTGGTGTGAGGACACAATTGTAGTAGACTATCTTAATTTTGTTAATGTGTGTGGGAAGACCCACTGTGGATGGCAACAGGGGTCCTTGTTTTAATTATGTTCCTATTGCTACAATAAAGACCACAAGGAAAGTGCTAGTTTCAGCTCTTTTTCATATTTCATCATGAAGGGAAATCAGGGAAGGAACTCACAGGAACTTGGTGTAGGAACTAAAGGGAGGCAATGAATTCATACTGCTTACTGGCTTGCTCATCTTGTTTTCATGGGCCACACAGAACAATATTCTGAGGGGTTGCATTGCCGCCAGTGAACTGCACCCTTACACATTCATCATTAATAAATAAAATGCCCTAAAGAGTTCCCGAATCTCTAGTCATGTGGTGGCATTTTTTTTCCATTGAGGTTCTATTTTCCAAAATGACTCTAGCTGTGTCCATTGATAATAGCCCAACCAGCATAGTTTCTGAATGACTTGAATGGAAAGATCAAACAGTGTGTAAGCAAGCTAGCAAGTAGACAAAGGTGCATTTGCTTCTTAGTGTCCATGGTTGTGGATGCGATATGACTAGCTGCTTCGAGTTCCTACAACTGTGGTTTCTCCAAACAGACAGCAACTTAACACTGCGAGCTAAAATAAGCCCTATCTCCCTTATGTTGCTTTCTTATCAGGGTATTTTATCACAGCAACAGAAATAAAACTAAAATAGGGAAGAAGTCCACGAAGTACTAGAACCCTGGGCTGTAAAGGCTCTTGGAGCAGTACAGGAAGGGAAAGGAAGAAGCATGAAAAGTAGGCTTAAGAATGAGCTACTGACCCCTGCAGAAGGATGTACAAAGTGAAGTAAAGTTTGTCTTTCTATCTTTCCAGCCATCTATGAGCAATCCTGTGAAGTATACAGACACCATGGGAACAAGGCTGGCTTATTCTATGTTGACTCTGATGGCAGCGGGCCGCTGGGACCTCTCCAGGTGTACTGCAATATCACCGGTAAGGGCCACGTTTTCCACGCATGCTTAACCTGGGTAACAGCTGGTATGAGATGGAATAGAGTTTCTGCAAAGGGACACCTGAGTGAACAAAATTTACAAGACTAGATTTAGTTGGGGAAGGAGGCTATCTTGATAAATCTTAGGAATTAGCTTAGTTATTTTTGAGAAAGAGTGGTAGAGGGAGCTTGGTAAAGGTAATGAGACTATTTCAAAAATCCAGAGTAAATTACCTACTATTTTCTGTAGGGCTTGCCAAGGTCATCTTATCTATAGAAAATGAACAGCAAAAAGAAAAGGAGATAAGAACAAAATAAATAAACATACAAACAAAAAATAAAGCATAAAAGCCAATGGGAAGTCATAATTCACAAAGGGGAAAATTCATTCACAGAAGGTTCTATGAACTGTCTGTCTGGGTGAGTCCTACTTTCTTGATCTTCAGAAGTTCATCAGTGAAATGGGAATGATATTACTGCATCAAGGAGTTGTGAAGATTATAGATAATCAGATGTGTTGGAACAGCAATGAGGACCTAAAAAACATAGCCCTGGCCTCAAAAGGGAAAAGAGATTCTAGAAATCTATTTATAAATAAGAGATTCTTATTCTAGAAACAAGTAAATGATCAATCTGAGAAAACAGATAAAGGTTATCACAAATTCCATATTCCATCATATTAATAGTTTCATGATGATTTATTGAATCAAAATTCTTTTCTATAGACTAGTCAAACATCAAGTAGGAAGAATTCAGGAAAGCTGAATGTCTCTGCTCTGAGTCTCACCTATTATCTGATGGTTTCTCAGACTTTATGTTCATGAAACAAAGGGACTACTTCATTTATTTCAAGAGTACTTGCCAGAAAGTCACAGAATGTTATATTTGGAGATGGTCAATAAGTTACTGTTCAATAGGCCAATGTTTTACAAGGTAATTGTACATTGAATCTGCAGAGTTTTGACTTGCCTCCCATCACTGAAGTTCCAATTAGCTTTGTACAAAAGTTCTATATAGGCATAGTTTCTTTTTATGTGAATTGCAGTTTTCTTGGAAGTCACCATCATTTCCATCATTATCATCATCTTCTTCATCAGGAAGACTGTATTCTATGGAATATCCTGAGAGTATGTAACTTTTTAAAAATTAATTACATAGGTTCAGAAATGACATCTGAGAATGATCAGGTAAAAGCCATTGGTGCCAAGTCTGATGATCTGAGGTTAATCCCTGGTTGCCACATAGTAGGAAGAGAAAACAGACTCCAACAAGATTTACACATGTTAAACTGAACAGTGGTAGTGCACACCTTTAATCTCAGCCCTTGAGAGGCAGAGGCAGGTGAATCTCTGTGATTTTGAGGCAAGCCTGGTCTTCAGAGTGAGTTCCAGGACAGGCTCCAAAGTTACATAGAGAAACCTTGTCTCAAAAAACACAAACAAACAAAAAAGCATTCTCACATGTTGTCCTCTGATTTACACAGATTCACATTGGTACATATGTACCCTCTTCACAAGTAAAAAAAAACATTTAAAAGTGATACTTTATGGGTAATTTATTCTATCATAAAATTCCACATTGCCAAACATTGATGTGATAATTTTTTGAGCATTTAGCTTTGCCAGTAGTCCTACTATGACTGTCAGAATATCATTAATTGGCATATCTCTTTCTTTTTCTTTCTTCCTTTTTCTCTATCTCTCTTTGTCCCTTTCTCTCTCTCCTTCTCTCTCTCCTTCTCTCTCTCTCTCTCTCTCTCTCTCTCTCTCTCTCTCACACACACACACACACACGCACACACACACATATACACATAAACATTCATAATTCATTTCAAGCCTTGCACCAAATAGCAAAGCAACAAATACCAGGCCTCTCACATTTCATAGAATATTTCTGCCCCACGCTCCACTTCAGTGAAGCAGCATACTTATAGAGCTCTTTCTGGACATGCAGTGTCCAAGGCACTAAGAATATGCAAATGAATGACACCATGGTTGTTCAGGTGACAGTCAACTCAGGAACAGCCATGCAATGCTGCAGTCAGAATATAGGGGAAGCACTAAAAGAATTAATGACAAAGCATATTCAACAGTTTTTCCAACTGAATGTAAAGAACTAGATGCCAGACACTGTTTGCAGAAAGGGCTAACATTTTGTTGTTGTGCTTTCTCTTGTTTGTTTTTGTTCGTTTGCTTTCCCATAGTTCTTCATCTAGAGAAGAGTGGCTGTATGCTAGCTACCTTGTAATTGTTTTTAGTTTTGTTTTTTTGTTTGTTTGTTTGTTTGTTTTTGATTTGTTTTTTCAAGGTAGGTTTTTACAATAGATATGGAGCCAGTCCTGGCACTCACACTGTAGACCAGACTGGCCTGAAACTCACGGAGATCTGTCTCTTTGTGATTGCTTTAGAGCAGGAATAGAAATTGTGTTCTTTGCTTTCTTGGTTGTTGTTATCTAGTACTATTCAACAACCTAGTCAAGGACTGGGCTTGTTCTATTCAAAACATAACTCACACATGAGTTCTTAGTTAAAAAAAAAATACAGACTTCTAGGATAGTCTATATCCTTATTCACTAAATGTACTTGTTCTAAGATTGATAAGGTATTTAGATGCAAATTCACCCTGGTTCTTGATTTCCAAAGAGGTGGTTTGGCTAAAAGAGAAGGTAAAGGAGACAAATACCTACTGCTGAGTAGCAGATACCACATATATCCAGAAACTGTGAGGTGACTGCCAGCTACTGAGCTCAGACATTTTAGGGAGTTTAATTGGAACTTAAAAATATCATCTCTGTTAATTCTACCAGAAAAATGTAAGCAAATAGATATTTAAAAAAATCTCCAACTTGTATGGAATAAATAGAATATCAGAATTTCATGACTTGCTGCAGGTAACACCTAGCTGGGACCATGACTTCCCTGTGGTCCAGTAATAATCCACATCCCTGAAACATTAACTAGACATTCTGCATTTCATATATCTTCACCATAATCAGCTGCTGTGGTATAATCGTTCTGTGTGCTGTGAATATGTATTCCTCTCATTAGTTAATCAAAAAGCGGCTTTGGCCTATAGTGAGGCATAATAAGGCTAGGTTGGAAAGCCAGACTAAAAATACAGAGAAGGGTGGAGTCAGGAGAGACAAGTCAGTCAGCAAAGACGCAAGATGCCAGGGGACTGGTAAAGTGGTAAAGTGTGACATGTGACAAAATATACATTAATATAAAGGGGTTAATTTAAACTTAAGAGCTAACTAGTAATAAGCCTAAACTATAGGCCAAACATTTTAATTAATATAAGTTTTTGTGTGTTAATTTTAAACCGGATGGTTCTGGGCAAAAAAAAAAAAAAAACCCTCTATCTCCATTTACAATCAGCATTTTGATTTTTTGTTATAAAATTAATAAATGATTATACTTAAAAATTCAAAAAAATAGAAAATTTATTAAAATGCTAAAACAAAACATTATCAAATCTCAAAGTATTAAGTTACCAAATTCTTAGAAGTTTAAACCTGTTTTTCTATAAATGAATTGTTTGTTTAAACCTAAGATACACTTAAATCACATATTTGTATTTTAGTGCCCACATTCAGGCTTTTTCCTGATCCAGTAAAACATATTTTGAAATTAAAATGTATATATTACAATAGCATAAAAAATTAAACTTTCCAAAATGGCAAAAGTCTAAGAACATAGAAGACTTTATTCATCCAGAACTGTGCTTCTGAAACCTACCTATTCTGGGATTTATTGTTTGATAATTTATCCATTTATGGTTAAGGAAGAATGAGTAATTAATCTTACGGCTTGCTAATTTGGTGCTGTAGTCCTGGAGGAACTAGAACTTGGGACCTGTGTCCTGATGGAAAATCAGCATTCCCCTCTTGGCATTCCTAATCACATAAATAAAAGAATTTAAGAATAAGTTCAATGGCATCTCCACGAGAGTTTTATTACAGTTGAAAAGAGAAATATCTCAGGACAGGTAAAAGTAGCACTTCTCAGCAGCTTCCCAGAGAAGGAGGATGGAGAAGGAAATGAAGAGCATGTTTCTTGAATTAAGGAAGCATGGAGATTGGCGATATCATGGCTGAAAGCTGTATGATAAGAGGGCAATGTTTGAGCAAGGGTGAGGACTGCCCAGTGCACTCTAAGGTGCATATGTGATATCTGGTTGGCATCTGAAAGAAAGAGACAGGAAAGAAAGAAAAGCTGGATCACTTGTTGGGAAGACTCAGCTGCGTGTCATGACTTCTTGGGTTGTAGTGACTAAGCTAGAGAATGCGGATTATTGGAAGGAAAAGCAGAAAATTTCCAACGTGGCACATCTATTTTGGCTACTTCTGGTCATGGCTTGAGGTGAACCTGCCTTCTCTCAGATGGCCCATGGGGTGTGTGATTGAACCAGCTCCCTGAAGTGTTGGGTTCCAATGAGACCAGTGATTCTACTACCTTAATGAGAAGCTTTTCCACAATGGGCTTGTTACTGCTGCTGTGATGCTGAGTGAATAGTTTAGATGGTCATAGATAGGACCTTCCATGATGGTGATCAAAGATGAACCTTTATTTGGGGAATCTTAAATCTTCTATGTTGTTAAATTGGAGTGACTTGTGATGCTGTGAAATATGTAGAAAAGCCATGCAGAAAGTGTGACCGTAACACGAGGGTTTAAGCTGGCTGTCTTTACAAATGCCAATAAACTGAGCTAGGAATTGAATTATTTATTCACATTTTAAAAATTTACTGTTTTAAATTTCTTTTTATTTTATATACCAATCCCAGTTCCCTCTCTCTCCTTCCTCCCATTCCCTCCACTTTCCACTTACAGTCCCGCTATCCACTACTTAAAGAGGGTAAGGCTTCCCATGGGAGTTAATAAAGTCTGGCTTATCATTTTGAGGCAGGACCAAGGCGCTCCCCCCATATCTAATTTTTAGGCTTTTTTCCCTCAAAGATATGGCTATCTGGGAAACTAGAGAATCACTCCCCAGATCTA